TTAAATTTCATCTCAATAGCGGTCTAATAAGATCGAGTTAACCAAATATAATTTGGCATAGTGACTTCAGTACTTTCACACCTTATACGAAACTGATTGACTTGAAAGAAGATAACTATTATAATAAAAAGAGTTAGACCGACAAAAAACGCGTGCTAAATAGCATCATAACCTACATTCCTTTTGGTGGCAGCGAGCACCTAGCGACTTATCGCCATAGAATGTGAATTTTAAACAGTCTCGGCGTAGGGCCATATTCGTGTGTTTTCTCTTTATCGGTCATTGTGGCTGGCATCGCAGCTCAGCTATATATTCTTAAATTGATATTCAAGCGGCGACCTGTCGTGGGCTCCACACTCGGGCCAGTGTTCATTACACCGGAGACCAATAACCATCCTGTCATAAAACAATATTTATTCATTGTTTCGCAAAACGTGCGCATGCGAACGCTGTCTCTTTCCCAGAGGGTGCCATGTAATAATGTGGGCCAAATCTGATGTGCAATAAAGAGAACCGGAGTTCACCGGAATAACCTTTCGCAAAGTAGGGAAGTGTGTGTCCCTAAAACAATGTGACGTTTGGGGACTAGAGATTCTTTAATAAATGTCACGATATTTTTCACTTCATTACATTATCACGAACTACACGGTTTGATAGTTACATAATTGTAGTGCGCGAAAACTCCTATTGTTGATAAACCATCTTCAATATGGCATGAAATCAAAGTCACGTCACGAAATGACGATATAGCAAGTGAAACAGAAACGGTTTACGACGTTTTTTGCAACATTTTTGTGGTCCGATAATAACGGTCCCGACTCCTACAACGACGGTGACCGCAGATCAGCTACGAGATGCACTCACGCGCCGCGGGTCAGCGCAGACGCTGCTTGCCGCCCTGCATGTTTTGGGTACATAATGTATTTACATATCTACTTACATCACCGCACGCAACTGAGCAACAGTAATATAATCTATATATTTTTTTTTTTATTTCGAAACAAATTCCCTCCAATCCATAGAGTATAGTGGCTAATCTACCACAAAGAGTCGTTAAACGGCTGCGCATTCCACCCCATTGTGGGAAGCCTATAAACCCATATAGAACAGAGGAATGTGAGTAAATATTATATGTGAATGACGACACATGTGCGCGAAGTGCGGCAGGTTGCAGAGGTCAATGGCACCAGCAAGGCCCAGATTCAGTTCCCTATAACTTGCCATTTTCTCAGGAAGCCGTCGGCGCGTGGCCGAGCGCTGCCTGCCGCCCCGGCGCGGCTCGAGCGCATTCTGTCACGCCGGCACTGCGCGCGCGCATATTGAAGCGCGACTACATTAATGCAGAGTCAGTGGAGAGGTTCCTTGGTTTCAGGGACACTTTATTTTATAGCCATGCTTTATACATATGCTATGGCGCTGCATGTCCAATATGTCCATTATTCTACTGACTTATATTACAATCATAACATAGCGTAATGTGAGAGTTTCTCACAATAAAACATACCACATATCTTTAGCATAGGTTAGTCACAAAATAGAACACTGATGGAAGGTTAGGTAATCAAATGTGTCTCGACGGCAAAAAATTAAGTAGGTATAGTTAAGAAAAAACCTAATCTACTCATTTAGCACCCGTCAACTAACCGTATTTCCGTGGTCTTAAAGTGTGAAACGTTTCAAACAAAAGAATCGGATGTTCACCGTCCTTGTCTGTCATCATCAATGACTGTTGTATCGTAATTTAGACAAAAGCTGAGTGAGTTAACAATATAATCAAGATAGCGCAGAAATTAGACGAGTAGCTAGCAAAATACTTAATTTTGTTTCCTTTTAGGAGTAGGAGTTTTATTATTTTTCCTAGTGAAATGCCAACTACAAACTCTAATACTACTAACTAATAACGCATCTCATAATTCTGAACATATTGTTCCTCCTGTTTTTGTGATAAACTTTCAATTGAAAATTCCCTACCAGATTTTACGTTAACAGCATTCATTAACGTAAGAAAAAACCTTAAAAAGATGAATTTTTTTGTTGAAATGGCGCGCGTTACGATTGAGTTGCGTGAAGCCTTCACCCTGCACTTGACTGGCGCGCGCGCAGTCGAGCTTTGCGCAATCGGAATTGCCCCGACGATTCGCAGTCGTCTCGACGCGGTCAAGACCTTACCAATGACATTCACCGTTGAAACTAAATTTACTTATATTAATCAATTTAATCTTGTTTAACTATGACATTATTAGAAATATATTTATTTAACATGTAGGTACATATGTACGTTTTATATTAAAATGATCGGAGCATTAATGTTATAGCAACACTTGACATAACGTGTCACGTTATTTATTTTCTAAATAATAAGTCACCTCAGTGTAAATGCTATGTTCTTTTTGTTATACCTATTTTTTAAGTAAATTCGGGGTTGATCAAATATTTTTAAAATAATAAGAGCTTTTTCTTAAGTTGAATTTTTTATCGAAGTAATAATAAAAGCGAAAGTTTAAGTTCCTATTGCGAAAATATTGGATTTATCTCTATGGAAGTTCTTATCTGGGATTTTAAAAAAATTGACATCTTTCTATTCAAGCGAACACTGACGCTAACATAAAAGTTTAAACATATGCAATTTACAGTGTTTTTCCGTATTGTAAGTAATATTTTATCAATTTCCAACTTACTATATGGAATGGAAAATATAGGAACAACTTTCTTACACAAAGTGATCTCATTGATCTATTGTAAGAAAGAAACCCTGTATTAATATAATTGATATTTATTAAACTTGTAAGTTATAGTTAAAACGAATTGAAAGAATGCCACTTGTCTAGTCCTCTGTCATATATTTGTTTATAACTTTGCATTTCGTGAAAAGAATGTTTCTTAAAACTCTTACTTTTTTATATAAAAAGCAGGCATTTTTTTACAAAGCTTAAAAAGCCAATAAAAAGTATTTAAGAACTTCCAAATACTAAAATTATTAAATGTGATGTTATAAACACAGAAGAGTAAGACCTATCGTACTTGAAAATTAAAATTTTCACAAACTTTAACATTAACTTAATCTTAACAAGATTTGGAGCCTCATTTGTAGCCTATAAACTTACTTTTCGAATCTCCTGCTCTTAAGTAAGAAGACTAGGTATTCCATCTTACTTTATAATCTAGTACATAAGTACCAATAAAAAATTAATTTTTGTTTTAAACATGAGTTGACATATTTTTATTAGTTGCTTTTAACGATTAAGACAATATTATTTGTCTATTCTTTTTTATAGAATAAAAACAATTATTATATAATTAACAAATCATATCTTACGTTCGTGGTTTCCGAAATAGGAAGTACCCTTACTTACTTAGGTGCTTAGAACTACTTATGAGTCATTTTGTACCAATGAAAATAGTTTGTGTTTATTATTATTATTATTTTTATTTTTCATGTTTTAATATTCTCTCATTAAATAGATTGTGACTGTTATTATTTAATTAAAGTGTATGTATGCATTCTGAAAAATACTTTTAACGGGAATATCATTATGTGACTAAGACATTCGATTTGCAGGGTAAAATTACCCGAGTGAGTTAAAGTATCATTGCTCTAGTAAGTACTGAAAAACGGATAGTGGCCTGTTTTCCGAGTTATGGATTATTCTCGCAAATAATAAGATTAACAGTGCAAACTGTATTGTGTGTGACGTTTGATATGAATCGTGTGCCCGATTCGATTTCAATCTATTTTGTAAGTACAATCGCAAATGATTACTGGTGGCTAGTGTGAAATATCGGATCCGCCACGGTTAACGACGGCACGCGGCGGCTCGGATGCACTCACGCGATCCAGACGACCCGACGAGATATGGCTATTTCTATAGGATCAATAATATTGTTACCCGACGTTAGGAAGTTAAGAATTGTTACCAGACCCAATAATTGCATTTTGGAAATAAAATGGACAATCCATTTATTTGTTATTCCCGATATGATGCTCATAGTTTTATAGAAAAATAATGTATGGTGTTTTAATGATTTTCATTTTGGAAAACAATAAATAAATTAAATAAAATTACTGTCTACAAATACTGGCAAAGCTGTGTGTCGAGAAGAAAGATTATTACAAAGTTGCGTTATAATTAAAAAAACCTTAACTTTATAACTAAGGCAGGTATATTTATAACTATCATAGAGTAGTTTTTTTAAGCCAGCGCATTGTTTTAACGTATTTTTTTTAATATTTACTATATATAGTGAACTAATAGCGGTACAAACGTTTAGTGGCACAAAAGATACACCGAAACTTTTTTAACAGTTAAATCTATGTTCGAGTAAAGTAATTTATTTTCAGAGACTGCTAACCAATTCTATAGAAATCCAATTATATTTTTTTACAATTGCAAGAACTAGTGGACAAACTCTAAACGTTATACACATTGTTAAAAGATAGGCCATCCGATCGAATGAACTTATGTATTTTCAGTTGATTATTGCAATTGAGTAAAGCACATTCGTGTTAGCTTTGCTTGTAAATACTACTTATCTCAATTTTAAATTATAGTTTCATAATATGAAATAGGTTTTCATGACTATTATTTGATTTCGTTTATTGTTGAAGTTGTATTTTAAAAATAATATTTATTCTTAATAACTTTTGAACTTTAAAAAAGTTTTAAACAATTTAAATATTAACTTCAACAATGAAGCAACTACCTAAGTACAGAAATAACCATAGCATCTAAGTATCGCGTCGGACGTGTCTTGTTATGTCTATCTTAATCTGCAACCGTAGCGCCGGAAAAGCTCGCCGACCGGCATTTTCAGACGCGCGCTCTCTTAATAACTTCTCGATATCTACGTTCAAATTAGATAAAAACTATGCATTTATTTCATATAAATAATGTTTTTTAAATGACTATTGTGTGTCGATTATTTAATTATCTCCATTTTTTTAAATTGAATTATACAGTTATGTGTTTTTAATAAACTATTGTATTTATGAGTGTACTTACCTCTTTTGTATTAAAATAAATAACGATAGTGCACTGTGTGTCGGCAGACGCCGGTGTTATTTTCACTGTCCAGCGAGGAAGAGCAGAGGTCACCGGAGCGTGGTGTTTGCGGCGCGGCCGGGCCGGCACTGACGCGAGGCGGGCTCGCGATCCCGCCGCTCGCTCGAGCTGCCGACGGAGGCTTCGCGGCGGTCGAGCTTTCAGCTACACAAGACCACGCACTGCACACTGCACTCGCCTTGTCTACCCACGCGTTGCGATTCTCTCGATCGTCTAATGTTCCGCGCGCCCGTCGCACGTTTGAACTCTTCGCAGCACCCGCTTTACCGTATAAATATGAAGCCCAGTGGCGGGGGCCGACGTCCGGCGGCGACGCATCGCGAATCCACATCGGCATAAATTCGAGATGCAGCCGGTGTCCTCCTCGCTGATTTTATTACATAGCTATCGAACAATTATCCAAACTCCTGCCACAGAGTCGTGTCACGGACGGGCCTGCCTCAGACTGTTAATGTCGTGTTACGTACAATTATAAAGTCGACGTGTTCACACCAATATTATGTCATAAACGTGTAATGATGATGATTGCTGTGATGGCGAACAACATCGACTCTGCGTAAATTAAAGTTAATAAAGTTCAAACCTAAGTGCAAACCATTTCATTTGTAATTACAATAAACCACAACAATAAAATAATAATGAGATAAGTGTCATAGATAAACAAGATTTCATTCACAGAAAAAAAATTGCTAAACAAAACTTATATTTAATACTAAAAGAACAATAAGACCCAGAGGAAGAAATATATCATTACCGGCCACGAGGTCTGTAATAATTCAACTGGTTCAATCTTATATAATACGAATTTCATATCGATAAACAGCTAGACAACTGCACGACTACAAATTTGACATCAGCTATGGCCCCACCACCATCAACTGTTTCAGTTCACTAACGTATTTTTATGAATATAAACATTAATGATAAACTACTTAAAAAGGCGTAAGTTAATTTTCCAGCGTACCTTGTGATTTTTATAAAAATACTAGCTGTCCCAGCGATCTTCGTACCGCCATAAAATAATAGGGGTTGGTGGTAGAAGGGTGAAAATTTAGGGTTTATGTATTTTTGTATGAGATCATAAAAAAGTAAAAAAAAATGGCAAAGAAAAAATTTAAGGGTGGACCCTTAATATTTAGGGGGATAAAAAATAGATGATGTTCGGACATCATATATTCCGATTCTCAGACCTACTGAATATACATTTAAAATTTCACGAAAATCGGTCGAGCCGTTCCGGAGTAGTTTAATTACGCACACCGTGACACGAGAATTTTATATATTAGATATATGTATGTGTACTTGCATCATTTGATGGCTTTAAATACATAGGTACATCTAGACCACTACTACGGTAATAATATATACAGAATTCTATCTTCATACAAACGGTCGGAAAGCGAATCATACTACGCCACTCGAGTTCGGGGGAATCTCGGGGGACACCCACCCAGTCGTGAATACGCCGCAGCGACGACCGAACGGTGTGAAATGTTTTTTATGCAGTTAGCCGTGCTTAATCGTGCGTTTTGTATTGTAAATATTTGATTGAATTAAGTAGATACCTACATAATTTAATATGGCAGAGAACAAACGACGATAAACAGCACAACTGTTTTTGGTTGCTTGAACTCTTAAATACGCACCCAGAGATATTATTTTTTAAATTACCTGAAATATTGGAAAGGTAAGAATATTTTTATAGAATATTTGAATACTAGTACGTAATTTGTTTTTAATATTAAGGTATTTCGATTTTTCCATTGGGCAAAATATCTGGAATTATATATAAATAAGTGGATAGGGTAAAAAAGAGACAAACGAGTAATCTACCTACACTCACGTTAAAAACAAAAGTACATAATAGGTAGGTAGTTTCCTAGACTAGGCTATCTACTTACTTAACTACATACATTAATTATTGAATAACTAAACTACATACATTATTGAATTAAATGAAATGCCATTATGAAATAATTTACGAGAGTAATAAATGGTAGGTATTGTAGTGATCGGATATTTTTGGTGTATACTGGCAGCTTATTAGGTAATTTGGAAAAGAGACGGATTGTTGACAGGAATTGATAGCTGGAAAATAATAAAATAGGGAGATTAATTGTGCGGAGTTTAAAAAACAATATTTTGTTTATTGATAATAATAATGCAATTTCTTGAAAATAAAAGTGTTTCAATGACAATAATTAGTTTGCATGAAACGATCCCCACAGTACCTACCTAGTAAGATTTACCTACATTGTAGGTAATTTCCTTTTAACCCGACTGCGCCATGACTTACAAATGAATATAACTTGTATGTTTAAAATAATATTCTTTTATTGAATTATGTAAGAATAAAAATCAGCAATCGGGTTTTTTACAAGCTTTTAATTGACTTGCAATATAGGTAGGTATGTATGTTTGTTCGGGTGGAATCTTGCAACTCAATTTTGAAGCAGATATCTTCAACCGGTTGAGCTGAAATTTTGCATATACACGGTTAGCTGTGTGACGTCATTCTAAATCCAACATGGCGGAATAGTTATTTTTAATGCATTCCTACGATATGGGTATATGGGCTTGAGGAGAATCTTTACATATAAAAATAAAATATTTACAATCACCAAACTAGAAAGAAACTCAATTATGTAGATGAAATTAAAATACTGTAGGCGGGCGGCCCTACCGCGTGTAATGCAGCGCTCGGCCGAAGGTTAGGCATAGATAATATTACCGTGCCGCTACCGTAGCTGACAGGGAGGAGCGAAGGACTTGGTACCATACAAGAAAGGTATGCCATAACGGATTTTTGTATTAAAATTTGAGCGCCTGCCTGGAGAAGTAGCTTCCACATTACAGATAAATAATACTACTTAGGTACCTTCGCTAGTCTTGCGTTTGTGTCGAATATTTTTAAGGCATATTTTTGTAAATATAATATTTTTTTGGCGGAATGTTTATACGTCTGAATTCACAATAGCATACTTTTAAGATTGCAGTAATTTTGACGACCTCCGTGGCCGAGTGGTTTGTTCGCCGGGTTTCATGGCGTCGCCGACTCGAGAGGTCCCTCCCGGGTTCGAATCCCGGTGGGGGCAGATGTTTGTGTGATGAACACGAGCATTTGTACTTCAGTCATGGATGTTTAATATGTAATTCTATATAAATATACTTATACATGTAAAGTATATGTATTCTATCCGTTACCCTAGTATCCCATAACACAAGCCTTACAGTGCTTACTTTGGGGCTAGGCTAATTGGTGTGTTGGAAAATAAAAAAATTATCAGGCATAATAATTAATAACCTCGAGCTAAATAAAATTCTGGATAATTACGTAAAACATATCGTTTATTTATGACCTAACCTAACCTAACCTACTAGGTTAGGTTAATGTCGTAACCTGAATTTTGCGCGAGCCGAGCGAGCGAAGCGAGCGCACCGCGGCAGCTGCCGGCGAAGCGCCAGCCACCTGATATAATAGATAAATAAAACGATTCTGACTGTGAACTTTCCGCGATATGCTATATCTGCTTTTAAATTATTGTGGAAATTAAATAAATGCCTAAAAGCCTGCGTAGACGAGGGACTTTTATCCGCGTACTTTTTTGTTTGCCAAAATAGATCGCTTACAACTGTATCAAGTAACGCACGCGACAAATTAAAAATACCACGTACAAAACAAACGAAAACACCGTCAGACCGGACAGGACAAAAGTACGCGGGTGTCCCCGAAAAGAATAGAACTTATGTGACGCAGCAACGAACATAGTGAATTTTAGTCCGCATTGCACACTCGATCCTACTTAAAGGTATGGACCCAGTATTTTCTTTTTAAACGTCTTCGCTTTTTCTTATACTTCATGTTAATTACAACACATCGTAATCTGAGAGTATATACTTCTTTAGCATGAGCTTTTCTTAATTTTCCAGGGACATAATGTCGCCACATCGTATGCATTGAGTCCGTGACAAGTCCTCTGCGGACATTTTTTCACGATTCAGGGACTTTTGTCCACCGCGAACAAAAGGCCTTCGTCTGCGCAGGCCATTAAAGAGATGGACTCAGTATTCTCTTTTGAAACAAGGAAAAAAAAGGAGTAACCTTGGTCAATGGATCAGCCTTGCCATCCAACGTAGCATTTCTGCCAGCCTTTTGGGCACCATTCCTGACGGCGCACAGTGGGGACCCTTTATAGAACGCCGTCTCAAAAAATGCTGCAAAAAAGCAGCCTGAAAACGAGTTTTCTGAAAACAACACTAGCTGGCTAATTACGATGACATCATAATTCTGACGACGCAGCCTGAAAAGAATTAATTCTGACGACTACATTATTATGATGACATTATTATTCTGACGACGCAGCCTGAAAAGGACACGAAACGTTATAAATAAATAAATCAGTGCATCTATACCGTTGAAACATGTTTAATTTAATGTGTGCGTGAAACCTAAGAAACAAAATAATTATATTTAAGTTGGTATTAAGGTAATTTTAATTAGTATTTTATTTAGATTCTAAAGTGCATTTGTGTATTCTTTCTCCAGAAAAAAATACTCCAAAAAGTCTTATAGCTGATATATAGGCAAAGTAGCGGGTAAAAATTCACTTAAAATCATTTTTCTTAGGTTTTCACGCACACCATCGTCATCATTTTTGACGATTTAATATATATTATTTTATCAGTGGATTTTGACAGTATTGTCTGAAAAACTGCTGTGAGTGTTCTGCGATATGTTTGATAATCTGGCGGGGCGGATACTTATAAAAAAGACGATATTTTTTGAAATCATATTCTTTAATCTACTGTACGTTTACACGAAGATGTAAATATTGAAGAATATTTTGCATAAGTACACTAGCTGGCTAATGATACCAAGTCCTTGATTGGTTTTCAATCTACATACGATAGTTTTTTTTACGATTACAAAATCTTAGCGTAAGTTTTATTAGCTAACACTACTGGTGTCAAACGCAAACATTTTCTGTAAACGTTCACTAACTATAAGCAAATTTATTTGTAGTTTTTGTGTACGAAACATTATATTTTATCACGTTTAGGATAATATGCTCACCTATTTCGCCACTTCATAAAATCCATTTTACACGATTTGAACATTCTTTTATATATAAATCACACAAATAGTCGACTCAACATACAATGGTATCGATTCTGGCGTGATTCTCTAAACTTAAAACTAAATTTAACATCAGTCTCTCCTTTTCTTTCTGTAT